TCCTGAACTTCCTATGTGAATTTACCCTTTGCTCAGCTCCCTTTAAACCTGTCAGCTGCAGTTACAGGATTTGTCGATCAAGGGCAATTTTTAAAGCTTGGAATTCAAGGCAGCTGGGCCTATGTTCATCTCTGAATTTGATTTCTTACCAATTCTCCAGATAAACTCCTTTCTTTAGTGACACAACACACCTGTACTACCTGTCCCCAGGATGGCAGTGCAGTCATGAGTTGCTTATTGATTGGGACATATTCTGAGAATTATGTTGCAAGGTCATTTTTGTCACTGTAGGACCACCATAGAGTGTCTCTGCAAAAGCAAAGATGGCTAAAACATCACTAGGATTATCACCTGTGTGATCCACAAGTGTTTGATAAAACAAGTTTTGGTGCCTATTACCTCTACTCAATCCCTCCTCCCTGCCAATCCAACTCCTACACTTCCTCTTTACTCTGGCTGTTTAACAAAATGTGCTTTAGTTCCCTGCCCCCGGAGATAGCTCTGTTCTCTAAGTCCCTTTAGTGGATATATTCTTTCCTACTTGTCCTATCTCCTGATAGTGTGTTCCATTAGTGATTGTTGCTTCTAATATTTTGGTCTTTCCTTCTCAAGCAAATTTAAAACTCCTCAAATGGAGACATTATCTCTTTTTATTATATCTCTACCATGACATGTGGCCCAGAACTGAGTATTCATGTGGTAATTCATCTTCACTAATAATTAGCATGAGATCTAGATAAGATGTTCTCCAGGTCTTAGGAGCATGAGTTGTCAAAGTTCAAGTACGACAAGGTGTCGTGGTGCGTGCCTGTCATCCTAGAACTCTGGTAGACTGAGGCAGGAGGATTGAAAAGCCTCAGGAACTCAGCAAGCCTCGTCACAAGTAACTGGAATTACAGGCATGTGCCACTAGCTCTGGCTTAAAAGGGACTTATTCTTGATCTCCAGAACCTTGGGCTTTTTCAGCCATTTCCCCCAGAGTACCTTTTCCCTCTCAAGTGGAAGTAACAAAACTGAGGTATTGGATAAAGCAGTCACACCTGTCTGGGATGCTGAGCTGACGCAGACACAGATACTGATAATCGTGTGCCAATAATGTTATCAATACTCAGCAATCAGGAACGCTGATATCCCCCGAAGACAGGAGACATAGCCACATAGCCGCCCTCTCCTGACTTCCTCAGGAGTGCTACTTTGTCACATCATCTGTCCTGTGATGCTCATCTACTGCCACCTGTCTTATCTGTTTTTGTTTCTTCCCCCTCTTGGTACAAATTTTCTGTATTAGCTTTTCATTCCTACAACCAAATATCTGAGAAAAACCAGAAGAGGAAAGATTTATTTCAGCTCATAGTTCAGAGTCTCAATCCGTGATGCACTGACTCCAAAGCACACACATCATGGTAGAAGTGTGTGGTAGAGGAAGAGCCAGAGAAATAATCCTGAAAGAATGGCACCAGTGAGTGGCTTTCCTACCTGACTCTCAAACTCCTACTATCTACTTCAGCTATGAACACATCCAGGGGAACTCACTGATGACATGCACCCTCACAATCTAATCACGTGTCTAGACATCTGCTAATCCAGTCAGGTGACAAAGATTAACCATCATAACATGCATGGGAACATTAGCTGGTACCCACTAATAATGCAATAACAACGCAATTTAGATATATAGTAGGTTTTCTTATATTGTCCTTTTGCTTCTTTATTCCCTTCTTTTATTGGCACATGTTTGCAATACAGAATGTCTACATCCCTTCAGGGGAATGGGCAGATGCAGCATACATGCCATATCTTGATCATTTTCTCCAACAGTTCTCTAATTCTTTACTTGTGTTCACTAGAATCAGGTTAAAATCCCTCTGTGGAAAATACTGCGTCTTTAAGCCAGTTGTATTTTAAACAACCTTCCCATAGACAATCTGGTTCACATTTTTCTAAGAGTAACTAGCTCACAATTCTGAATTTTATTTCTCTGGTATTCTGAGTATCCCAGCAATTCCATATCTGTAGCAAGTGTCTCTCATTTACACTTTTCTGGTACAACTGGCTGATGGGTCAGGGCACGGATCGTTCCATTGGGCATATGACTTCTTCAGCAATTCCATCCTTGTCCCCCAAACAAGAATAAAAGTCAGTGGATGCTGCCAATGATTCTCATTTTTGAGGGATAACTTCTAGTTTTCAAAAATGAGCTTAATACCTACCAGTTTAAAAAAAAATATGTAACACTGTATTTTTTTTTTTAAGGCTGTGGGTTAAAAGGTGTAAATTGATGAAGGATTAGATTTCAGAAGAGCCGTGGGGATAGCCACATGGACATTTTTGTTTGAGAATACCTGCTCCTTGAGGAGCAAGACAAAGTCAGTAAATAACTATTAGTAGAGGCTTAAAAAGCAGTTTTCCTCATTCTCAGGAAAAAGCCACTCTAGACACTTCCTCAGCTTCTCTCTGTCCCTTCACAGGTTGGGGACTCTTCAGCCTCCTATTGAGGTCCAGTGGGACTTATCGCTGATCTTCTTTGTCCCAGGCACAGGGCCAGACCTACAAGCTGGGACAGTTCTGCAAGTTAAGTCCTGGGCCTGGCCACCAAGAGATGGTCCTGCTTCTGTGCAACCCCCTGACTGGTTGCTCAAGGCACCAGGCCCTCTCTTTGTACCCAGGCGCTGGGGCTGGTTCCTCTGGAAGGGTCTTCCCACTATTTCTCACTGCAGCTTCCTCTCCATTCTTAGGCCAACTAGAGAGCTGCCTTTTTTGAAATTTTACCTTTATGGAAATTCCCAAGATCTTCAGAGCTGAGGTTAGTCTTACCTTCAAGTAGTCATCGATTTGGTTTTAAACATGTTTTCTACCACCTGGTGGGTACTAGGTGGGAAGGAGAGGTGACACAAACTGCTCAGCTGGCATTTTGAGATAGAAGTGTCACTCTCTTTTTTGATGTGTAGCTGGTTTGTGATGCTCCTTTTACTTTTATGGAGTAAAATTTTAAATCCATCCCTTGAAATAAGGCAAAATGACACTAAGACGGCCCAAATCATGACACCCTGGGGTGATATTCACGGTGGCTGCTGATATTCAGCAATAAATATGGGCCGCAGAAGCTGGACATGGTGGCAGGCACTTCTAGTCCCAGCACTGGGAGGCTAAGGAGGTGGATCATTTGAGCCCAAGAATTGGAGACCAGACTGGACAATAATACATCAAGACCCTATCTTAAAACAAAAACAAAAAACAGGGAGGTGCTATGGCTTGAGACAAGTACTTTCCTCTATGCTGTTCTGAGATACACAAAGATTTTCCTTAAAACAACTCAAGGTTTTTCCTTATTATAATCCTGGTTCTTTGTTCCTCTTTCCATACCCAAGACATAAGGTTCACCCCATTCATGGAAAATGTAAATAGTTTTCTTAATATTTTCTCCTATTTTATGGCTGTGAAAATTCTCCTCTGCTTTGGAATGTTTTCTATTACATTTCTTATCAAGTGTGCACCAAGGACAGAGAAAAGAGATCCCATTTATCTTGACAAAGCCAAAATTCCACAGGGCATTTACTGACTCATAACAAAGAAGGAAACTAAAGCTTTTCTTCCTCTACAGGTATAGTAAGTCCCTCACTTCCACTTACAAAGAAGTTCTGTTCTGGGAGGACATTCCTGAGTCAGATCTGTTGGTATGTCTTACAAAGTGAGTCTTACACACCTTTGACACAAATATACAATGTAAAGCATAAAAATGCCAAACACACACACACACACACACACACACACACACACACAGAGTCCCCAACTGTACTGTACTACTGCACACTATGGCGCTATACAGTAAGCACACAGCAGCACAACTGTGACAATGTCCCACAGACGCATGAGCTACTTCAGAGATTTGTTTGTACCTATGAATGTTCATGATGTGATGTCTGTTCCTATCTGAGAAAGTCTGCAACTCAAATATTCCTAATTTGGGGGCTTAATGTAGCTACCTTATCAGTAATTCTTCTCATTGTTTTTTTTTTTTTTTTCAGGGCTGAGCACTGAACCCAGGGCCTTGTACACTCTAGACAAATTCATTCCAACTGAGCTACATCTCCAGTGCTTTGATGTTTTTTTAAATGTAGCAACTTGACTTTACATCCTTTGTCTATTACAGTTCCTGGCTGTCAAAGTCTCCAGGATCCTGGTTCCTACTCAGTATTTTATTTCTCCTTTGCTTCACATTTTTAGATAAGTCTACCTCAGGCTTCCCAATAAAAGACAGAAGAGAGGTTGAGGCATTTTCATCTGTTCTGTAACTTCGCATGCCCTTTACTCACTTCGAGGCAGACAGCGGAAGCACTGAGCTAAAACCCCAGTCCCTCCTTTACTCACTTCGAGTAGAAAAGAGGTCAGTGAGGAAACAGGGCTTGGGGAGGAGTCACCCACTGAGAAAACTGTGCCTGACTGGCACCCACTCTACTTTCCCTAAGGGATATGCAGGCAGCAGAGGCACACCTGGCCTGCGTGTGACAACACTTCCTTCTTGGCACAAAGCAGCCTGGACAAATAATCAGGAATGTTCTTATCCCCAGTTTGTTGAAGTGATGCATTTTCTGGACTTCTATAACTTTAAACTAATGTCTGAATATAAGGAGCTATTATTGTTAAGATTTACAATAACATAAAAATGTCTCCATCCTTAGATTCATCCACTCTTTTAAAATAGTCTTTCTTCTAAGTGGGTCAGTGACTCAACTATCCCATGCATGTGTCATACTTAAAAGGAGGATGACTAAGGACAGGATGGTTCCAAACAACTTGGATTTTTCTACTTAAAAATAAATATATACAGAGAAAACAATTTTACAGAAAACTGTACAACAGGGAGTAATTTAGTAAATTGGTCTCCAATACAAGAAAATATTGTTTATAGCTAGGGAAAACAAATGATTTGCTGAACTTACACTTCAGTGCTCCTTTATTCAGGGAATGACACTGCCTCACATGAATAAAATGTAGATACCTCAATAGCTATTTTTGTAACTTAAAACTGCCTGTTCTTTCCCCATCAAATCAAGTGCAATGGAGTAGAAGTTCTGTGTCTGTCACCAATCCTTTATTGAAACTGGTAACTTACATACTTTATAACAGAACAACAAAAATAATGTTCGGTATGTACAGCCTTTGTATGGACTATCTGACTATACACAAGGCAAAGTGAGGACATAAGCTAATCGCATCATCTGTGCACACAGACACCAAACAGACAACATGTGCACATTACAGTGAAATGACATCACAGGTCCAGTGGAAACTCAGAGTAATACAAAACATACTGGTCTATTGCAAATGACATCTTTTTCAGTGCCCCGCTCCTGCTCAGTAGTCATCTACCCAGAGTCAGAAGCAGAGATTGGTTGTGTGGCTATAAGTCTCTTAAGTGAGACAACCTCTGCGGATAAGTTTGCTATCCCCTGCTTTAAGTACAAGTTCTCTGAGTCAGAAACTTTGTATCCATTGTCTTTAATCTCCACCACTCCAGTTTTGAAACCATTCTGAGTCTTGCCGCTCAGGTCTTTTGGGTGCCAGTGTTCTGATTTGAGAGACCAATCTTGAATGCTCGTCACCTGCACTGAGAAAGGAGGGAGGGAAGAATGTACCATACTTGGGGTGTTATGCTTGCCAAGTTCAAAATGTCTTTTAGATGTCATGTCAATGGGTGAGGAAAGTTTTTGAGTGGCCTCAAACTCGTTATCAAAGGCTTCTACTTTGATCTGCATGGCTTTGGCTTTGATCCGAAGCTTATGTGGCAAGGCAGAGGAGTTCACCTCGGGGACTTTCACCACTGTGGTGTGCACATGTTTGAGCTCCACTGGGGAGTGGATGGGGCCCTTGGGGACCTGCTGCTCGTCTTCCCCATCGGAGGACTTTCCCACCACAGCATCGTCGGTCTCAGAGGTTCTTGGAGAGTTACTGGAGGATCTGTTGACTTGCAGGAGAGGAGGAGAGTGTGAGTAGCTGGCAAAAGAGCTCCCCATGTATCTCTGGTAGATGGAGGCTGTATAGGAACCCCGGTCATCTCTCGGTTCCCTCGGGAAGGTCTCCAGCTCCACTGGCTCCTGTTTGATGACCTGGAACTTGCTCTCAGGACTTCTGCAGCTGCCCTGAACAGGACTTTCCTGCGTGTGCTCCCCAGAGGATGCCTCAGACATGTCCGACACGGAGCTCTGTGGAGAGTGCTTGATGACAGAGATGCAGCTGCCTGCCACCAGGCCCGGCTCGTGCTCGTCCCCAAAAGCATTCCCAGACGTGGGCTTAGCGGTCTGGTAGTCTTGAAAGTACACAGCTGTGGAATTACTGAGTTTCTGGATCTCCTGAGCATATGCTGTGGAGCTAATTAAACCAAACTTTAATTTTAGGGAAAGCAGTTCAGCTTTTAAAGTGGCATTTTCTTCTCCCAGCGCAATTAGTTTGTTCTCTAAAACCAGGTCATTCAGCCTGCGCTTCTCACGAGAACGTTTGGCAGCTTCGTTGTTTTTCCGCCGCTTCTCCCAATACATAGCATCCTTCTTCTCATCGGGAATGAATTCCCGTTTTCTCCGGCAGGCAGAAGATTTGTTTTTGCCCACGCTTCCCTCACCCAGAAGCAGCTCTTCCGCTGTGGACAGGTCCTCCGGCACCTCGGGCAAGGCTGCAGTCAGTACCATCATCTTGTCTGTGTTGCTGGGAGTGTCAAGGGATGCCTGCTCCTTTTTGACGGCCTGCATCTTTCTCAGCTGCATCAGAAACAGTCTTACCCTAAATATACAGCGGAGGAGAACAAGTTACTTTCCCAGTATTCTCAAATGTTTTTAAAATCCATCAACAGTCTTCCCTTGTTCACTTTCTGGGGCAAATTTGTCACGCTCCTTTTACTGAAGAGGGTAAGGTCTTCTGGTTATCTGCAACATACAAAAATAAACCATTACTCATTGGGATAAATGTCGGCTGCCAATACACACAGGTAATCGCTAAGCATCTGGAGAATATAAGCATGAACAAGCCAGAGTTCTTTCCTTCCAAGTTTGCAACTTAAAAAAAGTTGAAGTACTCAAATACTTTCTATGTAAAGTGATAAAGGTCCTATCTGCAGGGGGTTCTGTGCTCTAAGAGTAAGAAAAAAACTAGATAAAACCACCTTTGGGCAGGGAGAAGTAGAGGATGGCTGTGTTTAACGAGAACTGGCCAGTGTGGCTGTAGGGGGTGGGCCATTACAGGAAGGAAGTAATAGGTCACTGCTGATTGGTGAGTTTCTAACTAACACTTGCACATTGTGGCACTTCTGAATAATTTCAGATAACATTTATATGGCTGCTGAGCGAACATACCTTCCTCTTCAAAGGAAATCCGCCAAGTAAAGACCTCCAACATCTGTAAACAAGTTTTGCAATCATGGATAAAAGAGAACATAAATGGAGCTGAGTTTTATTTCCAGAAAACTGAAAGCTACATGAACAACTGAGTTGTTGGTCTTCATGTGGACACACATCAGCCCTCACATCTATCTGCCTACCAGGCTCACAGTCCTGCAAACTCCCCAGTGACTCATCCTGCCCAGGTGACAAGGACCAAAGCTTTCCACACAACCAGCATCTCAGGAGTATCTGTGTTTATAGATTAGAAATGTCCCTTTTTCTGATTCCTTCAAATTGACTTATCAGAAGGAAATACTAAAGCCTTCAAAGTATTTCTGGATCCTGAAAATTCTGTCCTAATAGGATGCAGTTATAGTAGCTCTGGACACTTACTATTCAGTCTTTTTTTTTTTTTTTTAAGTAGAGTACCCTCTTGAAACTTAAAAGTGTTTTAAACCAAGACGATGTAAGTATGGAAAATACTTCTTTCAGTTTTACTAGTTAGTTTCAAATAAAACACAAGAATTCAAAAATAGAATCATCAACTAGTTTCTTCTCCCATGAGTGAAATATTTACAATATGCATTTGGCCTGGCATTTACGTTTTTATTTTTTTAAATGTGGTGCTGAGGACCCAACCCAAGGCCTCACACATCCTAAGCAACCTCCAGGCCCCTGATATTGCTCTGATTTAAGATGATAAATCCATACTATGGGTCAACAACATTCCTTTCATGGTGGTTTGGGTCTGTTTCTAGATGCTGATTCGCTGTCCAGTTTTCTAGTTGTCAATACTTTTTATAAAGTAGACCTGAACAGCAACTCTTTGCTAGGATTATCCTGTATGGACCGGCACTCTATATTCTGACATATTAAAAAGCTTTAATGTTTTGTTTTACATCACTATTTCTGTCTTCTGCATAGTTTCAAAAGGACTAATGAAGTTCAACTGTATCAACTTTTTACCAGTCTTTAGCTTTTCCGGGAGCAAGCGAAGGCACGGTGTAATAATTCCAAGATCAGAAAGAATACAGGGTTCCATGTCGTGTTTTGTCCTTTAAACTAAGGCCAACACACTCCAGGCAATTTCTGGTCACAGCTCAGAGAAATGTGTGACTATTAATTCTAAGTTTCTGTATGTTTTCTGATAATGACAACTTTAAAGGGCAATGAGGGCAAGGAGTGCGTCACAGTGGGCCACGGTGTCACAGAAATGGAAACTCTCTATTGATCACTCAAGACAACCCATGTTTTCTATCATTTCCACTTAGCTTCTATCTTCAAACATGAAGCCCCATTTTCCTTTCAGTGCTGAATAGAGCTATTCCTCCTGCTGAAGTTTGCATTTGGTGAGTCAGAATCAGGCCTTCATCCCGCAAAGTGAAATCAACCCAAAGCATGGTGTAAGGAATTCCAGCTCATGCAGAATGAAGACCTTGACCGTTCACAAGGTGCTTTTCAAATCTCCACTAAATCCTCTTTTATTTTATTCCCAGTACTGGGGAACAAACCCAAGACCTTTTTATTCTGAAAAGGGGTTCTCACTAAGTCTGTAAGCTGTCAAGTCTAGGCTAAAACTTGTGATTGGCCTCCCAGAGGGCTAGTCTTACAGGGATGTCCTACCCTATATGGCTGGTACTACTTTTTTAAACTTCTGGTTTTTAAGTATCATATTGTATCCCTTGGACATAAACATTCTGGATATTTTTTCCACTTGAGAGAGCATACATTTTCCCGTTTCTTAAAAAAACAAAACAAAACCCTATTTCATTAACATACCCTGCCATTCTGTCTCGGTTAAATCTTCCTAAACTTTATGTGATTTCTCATCACATAAAATCAGTTGAAAGATTTTTCAACCTCCTGGCTCACAAGTGTACACAACGTACAGGTATAAACCTCGTGCAGGTGGGGGCTGGCAGCTGTCACCATGCTGTGTAGGGAAACTGAAATAATAATAACTAAAATAATAGTTTCATCTTAAAAATTCCTTAACCTTTTTCTTCTACGCATCTAAATAAGGTATACGGGATATTTAATCTCTACAGTTTTGTTGGTATATTAAACCTGTACAGCCTGTAATTCTAGCTACTTGGGAGGATGAGATGGTGGGATCTCAAGTTTAAGGCTAACTAGGCAACTAATTGAGACTCTGTTTCAAAATAAAATAAAAATCATAATCATAGTAATCATCACCATCATCGGCTGGGGTCAGCCTCTCTGGGTTCAATCCCCAGTACTACAAAACACACAACTCCAAGACAACAAAAGCCTTACAGAAAGATTCATTTCTTTTTCATAATCCTACTTGCAGCTCACTGCCTGTTACTAAAGTCATACATATCACTGCCTCTGTAACTCCATTGGCAAATCACCCTCTCTCTTAGGGTATTTTCTATAGTATTATTTACCAAATAATCTTGAGGGAATGGAGTTTATCAGCATTGAAGGGTAATGGAGAGTTATTCATTTTGGAAGCTGTACATCTTTTTCTAAGCATGTGCCTTTATGATTTCATGAAGGGCTCTCAGGCTAATATTAAAATATATTTGTATTCTAGCAACAAATTGAGGGAATTAAGTGCTCAATACTGGAATGATGACCACCGATCTACCTTACAGAACAGCATCTGATAACTACAAAACTTTTGGATTTAAAAAAAAAATGTATTTTTGTATGAATCCTAAAGGTGGTGTTTTACTTATTAGTGGAGTTTCTTTCATCATCTGGGATTTATATAACACATATGCAGTACCTACTTGCACTTAGTGCTGAAATTAAGCAAAGGTGCAGGCCTGGATCGCCCTGGCACAGGGCCTGCAGGATGGGGTGTTCACTTTCAATAGCACTGCCTTTTTGGTACAGTGATAGTAACATAAATAACAACTGGTGCCAAGTACCAAACCCCGCTCAAGCCCACTCCCCACACGAGGGGCGGGTTGAGCTGCTTTACTGCATTGACCTTCACAACATCTACTTTCAGGTGAGAAAGCTAAGGCTCAAAGAGGGGACGCCATTGGTCTGATGCCACACAGCTCATTTAGTTGTAAAGCTGAGATCCCAGTCCAGGCTGGACTCCAACTCCACCACCCCGGTCTTGTGGTCTCGGATACAAGACGTCCCTCCCCAGTCACTCTCATTGCTGAGTCACATACACACCACACTGGGGCATGTCAGATTCTGTACTAACGGCAGATGTTGACTTAAGCCAACAGAGGTAGCACCTAAAAGTGTTTTCCATCTTCCTCAGAGGAAGCTGGTACTTAATCAATCAAGAAAACTTTATTTTCATATCTCTGTGAAAATTTTATTTTTTAGATACTACCTATGTCAAAACAGGGAAATTACTTCTTTTCTACACAAAACCAGAGGTGCATCCATTTTCAACAAGGGTAGTGACGGTATCTCCCTGACTCTAGCCTCTCATTTCATAGAGGAGAGACCAAGAGTGACCAGCCTGAGATCAACAGCAGTTAACAGGAGAATGGGGTCTAGACTATTTATATCCCCTAGCAATAAACCTAAATGAAAGCTGATGCAAAGGTCATTTACAACCCCTTCTGAAAACATCAGCATTTATGCTAACCTAATGACTTTATTTCAAATCACAGTATTTTCCTTTATGATTAATTTAACAATTACTTCATCTGTGCGTCATCTTCTTGAATCAACGTCTAATGCCATCGTACATTAGTCATTGCTTATGTTTCTTCTTTGGTGAATAACTGACACTAAATACCAATTCTATGATGTTTGGGTATTTGGCATGATTAACTCCATTACACCTATTAGGTGATACAACTGCTTCTTAAGAAGAACACGAATGAAAAGAAAGCTGTGAGAGGTGGAGTCTGCACACGCCAGCTGACACAGTTCTTCACATTAACCTGACGGTTCCATCACTGCCCGATGCCTCTCCTAACACATCATACTGCTGCTACAGCTGCTGAGCTTATTAAGCTGGATGCCCAAGCACTGCGTGCAAAGAAAAGACTTGATTTAGAAATTTCTCCCAACAAATACAGCTTTACAACCTAAACTCTAAATCAAATTTATCCTTGACAAGTTACTTAGCACGTTAACTGTATCTTCTTTCTTCTCTACTTGATATCTCACACAAATAATGTTGGATAGTTCACTCTTTTTCCCACACAGAAAAGACTAAATTTATTTAAGAATCTAAAATCTTATCAATATATTCAACCTTCTTTTTTTTTTTGGTACTGGGGGTCGAACTCAGGTCCTTGCACTTGCAAGGCAGGCCACCGAACCACTGAGCTAAATCCTCGGCCCCTTCAACCTTCTAATCTACTATGAAACATGTAATTTTCTCCTTAAAGGTCATGTGTTGCTGTAACTGCTTCTATTATATATTTTGATTTTTTAACATTCTGTCAATGTATGATGAAATATGATTTGATATACATAGTGCTTTGCAAAGATTTTTACAGAGCTGTCTCATTTTCCTCTATTCTCTGAACGTACTGTTAATTCTCGCAGATATTAACATAAATACCACTAAAGAAAAAAATTGTTTTTATAGTACACCTACATTAAGTTAAACTATAAATCATCTATTTCTCCACTAAGAAGGCAGCTGCTTGTTTTTCATGTAAGTGCCATTTTCATGGAAAAAAAAACAAACTATCAATTTCATTGCTCTTTATATCTTTAAACTAACAATACTAGTAAAATAGCCTATACTTTTTAACTGTGGGTAAAATACAGGATGTTTACATCACTGAAATGCTTTATTTTTATGAGTAATAAAGCAATCTAATGTTTAAAAGCAAAATAAAAGAACTCACGTGTACAACTGTGGGAGGATGGGGGATGCTAAAGTTTAGTCAGAAACACTGAAGTTGCAAGGGAATTTTCTAATCTCACTTCAAAGGAAAAGGCTCTTCAAATGGAGAAATCTACAGTAAACTTTTCTAGGTGCCCCGGCCACATGTGATATCATTCTGCCTCAAGAAAGAAACTAAACCTCAAATTAGAAAGATGCAATGGACCACGACAAGGAGTACATGTGCCACACACACACACACACACACACACACACACTTTGCCAGCACTTATTCCGTCACAGCCAAACACTGACTGACCTTTTTTTCTATTTGGGTACGTTGGCAAATAAATGCTTCAGAACCGGATTGAACTCACCATAAATGAAAATATTTCAGGTTCAAGAAAGGTCTACTTGAAATTTAGATTTAAAATTAATAAAAATAACCCCATTACATTTCATCATAGCACTGATGCAATTCAGTAACTGAAATATGAAAGAGTGCAATTTGACATTCTTTGAGACTGATGATGTTTGTAACCTAATGCACAATGAAATTAATTCTGAAAGTTGTATAGAAGAAGC